GTAAAGCGGCAAATTGCTCCTCTGAAAAGTTGCAATTTGCTCAATAGCAGAAGGAGCAATTTATTGGTTTGCCCCTTTTTTGAGCAATATTGCTCAATTCTGTTACATAGTAGCACTTCACATAGCAGCAACTTTTGTATATTGTAGCAAATTTCTGAAATATAAACAAGCAAACGATATTCACTCGAGCAGTTTCTGTTATACAAAACAGCAAATTTGCGTATTTGTAAAGTGAATTTTGCTACTTTGCTCCTTTGTATATCAGCCATAGCGTTTTTACACACTAGCACAACAGCAAAAGCCGCAGAAAATATACATTCCAGCTAATTGGCACTTTTTTGCTATTTTCTCCTTTGCTATTTTGTAAATGAGCCCGTTGCAAAGAATCGCGCTCGTCAGAGATTGTTGTTGAAACTGACCATTGCGCAGCAATATCATATCGCACGCGTGCACACGCCATGTCCCGTGCGTCATGCACTTGTGCTTTTTTAGCTCTGCGGCATTTACTCGAAATCTATATCGACAAGTACACGCTAGGACTTCGCATTCTTCATGCCAATCCTCACGAATTATGATAACTGCGTTCTTCAATCTCCCCGCTTCCTTAACATAAGATGAGTTGATTTGTGGAACAAGTTGTTGCGAACAACAGTCGTACGAAATCGAACACTAGCGCCAATGCTGTGAACTAGAATCTCGAATCTATCATTTGTGCGGCGCCGTGGAAATTCCAGTGCCGAGTTCAAATTGTCCCGGATATAGGCGACCTATCACCCAACTAGAATTTCAGGCACTCATTTGAGAGTCATGTACTGACCACGTTTTATGATCAATTAATTGGAAGTCTTGAAAATATGAGAAATTGACCATGACGTACTCTAAGATTTCCTTCTATGATGCTTGCATTGTTTGATAAGACTCGAGAACTATCGCCAACCTCCGCATGACAGCTATACGGTCCAACGCCCGCAATTAGCAAGTTACACGACGAACTCTGAGATGGAAAAACTCACTCTGGAACCATATGTCCCCTACCATACCCAACAACTAACGCAACTAGAAAATGCACTTTTGATCTCAACTGAGAATACCCTTACAAATACCCAAAGATATACTCTAGGAGTCTGGTTAACATTCACCATATTTAAGAAAGAGAACTACTTCACGTCTTTCGCCACGGTGGAGACACACTTGCCAAGCATAACCACCCCGTTACCCTCCATCAGAGCAACACGCGACAAACCCTCACAGTTCTTGAAGGAGTCGACAACAAGAGGCTGAATAGGTTCAAATACGACTTCAGCCATTTCGTTGGACTTGAGGGAATGAGGGTCCTCCATCTTCTTGCCACCAGTCTCCTTGCCAACCTTCCATTTAATGCCAGCCAAACGACAAGCAGACCGTCCAGTACGAACGAAAGCGATAGGAGAATAACCAACCTTAATCTCGCCTGGGACGTCCAAAACTTGGACCTGAGCAGTGAAAGACTGCACATGCTTAAGAGTGGTATCTTTCTTGTAGACCATAACATCTCCAGAACGAGGCATATTCTCTTTCGGCAAACCCTTTACGTTCAGACCAACGTTGTCACCAGGAAGAGCCTGCTCCTGGCGGGTGTGATGCATCTCGACAGTAAAGACCTTACCAGTACAAGCAGTAGACGGCGTGTGAGTAGGCATAAACACAACCTCCTCGTTGGGCTTGACGATGCCTTGCTCAACACGGCCGGTAATCACATCTCCAACACCTTTGATCTTGTAGATACCAGAGACGGGCATTCTCATTGGTGCATCAGTCACACGCTTAGGAACGGTAGCGAACTTCTCGAGACCGTCTAGAAGAGTATCGATATGGAACGACTCCTTAGAAGCGGGATCACGAGTGACATCCACACCCTTCCACCAAGACATTTTCTCGGACTTCTTGATCAGATTGTCGCCCATCCAACCAGAAATAGGAATGACGGGAACACACTTCTCAACGAAGTCTTTCTTCCAACCAACTCTGCCAAGAACATTCTTCATCTCGTCGCGAATCTCAATATAACGAGATTCCTTGTACCCAGCAACATCACAGTCCATCTTGTTCACGCCGACGATTAGTTGCTTGACGCCCAACAAATTAATAAGACGGGCATGTTGACGAGTTTGACCTTGGATCTCACCAGCTTTGTGGTTACCCTTAGCAATAGCAGTGCCAAAGTTACCATCAGCAGGAACCATGAGAAGAGCAACATCCGCCTGGGATGCACCAGTAATCATATTCTTGATGAAATCTCTATGGCCAGGAGCATCGATAATAGTGTAATGCCACGAATCAGTGAAGAACTCCTTGGTGGTACACGCGATGGTGACACCGCGCTCACGTTCCTCCTTCTGTCGATCCATGTAGAACGCGAAGGCGAAAGACGATTTACCAAGACGATCAGCCTCTTGCTTGAGCTTCTCGAGTTCACGTTCAGGAATGCCTCCCAGCTCAAAAAGAAGACGACCAGTAGTAGTAGACTTGCCGGAATCGACGTGACCACAGATCACGATCGACATATGAACCTTGCCTTCTTTGCCGGTAGACATAGGTATAAAACTCTGGGAAATCTTCTCGCCAGAAAAATAACATCCACTCGAAAGATGTCATGACGAACATCACGAGCTGCTTACGGACAATCTCGAACGACAAACCTTCCTCAGTTCAAGCAAGAGAACAATACTGTGTAAAGCTCACTGAAATGCCCAAGTACGAATTTACAGCGACACTATCAGTTAGGCTGCTACTAGCACAACATTGCATAACCGTTACTTCTCGAATTACAGGCGAGCGAGTTTATTAATGCGCATCTTTAGGTTTCTTGCACTTGGTGCTTGCAGTTTGATCGAGTGGGAGACAAGACCAAAACCAACCTCAGCAGGATTGCATTGTTTTCTGGAGAATGTTCTCAGATACGTTTATTACGTTTTTACTATGAATCGGCGAAGTGCTACGCCACACCTCGCTCCTCCGGTCCGTAACCGCTGGGTGGACCGTAATGGAGCGCAAGTAGTCGCCCTATTAACTTCGGCTGCGAAGCACTGCGATTCGAAAACGTGCCCTATCTCATCTATTCCCGTGGACGTCATCATTGACAACATCGTTCCCTACATTCACTATGACCGACCAGTAAGAAACTGCATATTCGTGTGTGGTGGACGCTCTTCACGCGTTATGGATTCTAATCGTTATTTGAGCACTGTCGAGGTTTACGACGATTACTCTAAGAAATGGTCAAGAGTACCGCCGATGCGCAGCAAACGAGTTGGTGCAGCTGCAATGGTCGTCGGTGATCATCTATACGTCGTGGGTGGTTATCGTGTCCACCCCGACCAACCACTTGGGTGCGTGGAAGTCTACGACCCGTGGTTGAACCGGTGGAAACGGCTGAAGTCCTCCATGTGTATCCCTCGCTTCGGGCACAGTCTCGCTCTTGTTGACGACCGATACCTGTACGCTATAGGAGGAGACTCTCAGCGGCAATTAGTTTCCGAAGTGGAAGTTTTCGACACTCAAATCGGTCGGTGGCTCCAACAATCAGAATTGAAGATATGCTTGCCGCGCCCTCTTGCTGGTGGTCGGGTGATCGAGAAGGACGGTTTGCTATACATCGTTGGTGGAGATGTTGGATCTTCCCCTCTGCAGTTCTCAGACCTCATCTACGTCTTGGATACAACAGTTACTCCTCACGTTTGGTCGGTACTTTCGACTCGACTGAAGGTTGGCCGGTCGGCATGCGCTGTTACATGGCTCGACGAGTCTAAATCCGCTATCGGAGTGTTTGGTGGTTATGTGGTGATCGACGGGGACTTCAAGGAGGTTGCTACTTCAGAAGTGATAACGTTGGAAGGTACTCATGTTGTACCTCTCCATGAAGCACCTATCCTGGGTCGAGTGATGCCAGTCGACGCTCATGCCAAGGAGATACCCGAGATGCCATCCACTAGAGCGGGCTGTCGTGCAGTGACTGTTGGTTGCCGTGTTATTCTGGTCGGAGGTGAAAACCCTATCCCTGCCAATGCCGCGGAGATCACTGAGAGTGGGAGTGATTCGGTCTCTAGTCCAGGATCGGATCGATCTACCGAGTCCTCTGACATCTTGGCGGAGTTCGTCAACAACAGCAACAGCGCTGCAGCTGATCGCTCCAGTATATTTGCTCCACTCGAGGGTATTTCAGATGACCCTATACTCGATGCTCCGTCAACGCCTAGCCGCTCCCAGGATTCTCCAACTCGGCCAGCTTCTATCGACGAAGCGGTAACTAGAGCGATGCAACGATACTTCACTCTAGTTCATAGTACTCGCCCGAACTCTGACAGTGGTACTCAACGTGAGCGGGACGCTGCTGCACAGTTGTTACAGGAGATCACGAGAGCCCTCCGCGTGCAAGCGGTTCATGCTAGACGGCTATCTGAACCTGTGAGGGTTGTCCACGACAAGCCGCTGGTTTTCGATTCTTCAAAATGGTGCTGGGTCGACGAGCAAGCGTTGTTCGCTGGGCGGACCGCTGCTGCTATTTCTGTTGGGTCCGTCTTTCCGGTCAGCTACGGTTGTGAGTCACGTCGTAATAGCAGTGGACTGAGGCACTCGTGTAAGCGGAGTCGTGTGGAATGCACTCCCAGTGCATCTGCGAGGAGAAGGTGAAGTTGATACTCGCTAATAGTTGTCCGTTTGACACATTGCATTACTGCTGTATACAGAAGTTGTGTGGCGTCTCCAAGAGATTGCTGCGATACTCTGAAGGGCTGCGGTTAAGTTGTGATGCTGTGGACGTTAGCCATTACGAGTTGTTTAGAACCGATGTGTAGCGCGGAATTCGGTTGTGATCCGCTTTCTGAGGTTGTGTATTATCACTTTTGGAGGTTTTTGGAGAAGTAGTTGTACACATATAATTCATCACTGACTGCTATGTATGCTCGTACTGCGTACTGATTCTTACTGCGCTGCTGCATTTTCGGTTGTCGATTAGAGCAGCTTATAATCACCACTAGCTAGTTACACATCTATGTTGAGTCCGCGGCAACGAGTGACGCAAGCCTCGCTTGGTGCTCTCTCAACACGATGTATGCATGAATGGTAGACATGTGAGTGATCAACCGCGGTGTTGTGTGATAGTCAGCTGTGTGATGGTGCCATAGATCACTGGCCCCGCAGGGGGAAGACCGGATGCAGTCTATGGGGGTGTCATCATTTTGAAGTTTCTTGTGAGCTTAATATGACTTCTAAGAGAGTCGATAATGGGCAAGTTGCTGCGCCCATACCTTTGGGAATGCCCGTTATAGAAGAATGCCCTCTCATGACTGGTAGTAAATTGGCTATGAATTGTTTCCAGCCAAGAGTATAGATGATCGCTTGTATGGTCGCATTATATATCGCTCATGTGCTGATGTATTTGGATTTGTTAGTGTCTATACCGATACGGCATTCAGGTGTACGGTTGTCGGGTTCGGAGGTCGTGCATGTGATCGTGAACCCGGGGACTCGACTACCTGTTGATAACAAGCTATTGAAGTTAACAACTTCTCGTGATCACCAGAGTGTGGCTACTGTGCGGCTCGTTGTGAGCGGTGGTAGGACTGCATTGAGGTAGTAGCAGTAGCCGAGAGGCTGTCTGTTGTATACCGTCTGTCTTCCAGTGCCTGTCGAGACTTCATGAGCCTCACACGAGAGCTTGACACGTCGACCAATCACTACCAAGGGCTGGTCCAGCTTGACTTGTATTTGAGCATCTCAGTGTTTGGAGAAGTTACTGCAGTTCTAGATGAGTTGACGGATTTTAGAGGTATTAATAACGGAATGTAATAATATATACGATGCCCTCAAGATCATCGCCCTATACGCCTACGGAGTGTGTGTCCCTCGAAAATGGGTATCGCACTCCCACTGTTTGCAGCCGATGAGTTATAGTTCCTCTGCTTTGTCTCAGAGCCCAAGCCGCCGGCGACGGTGGGTCGATCTCTGATCTTCCATACCAACCCTGCCTCATCGGAACGGCCTCGTGCTGTTATGGACGATCAAGGTGTGAGAGTTTTCGTGGAAGGCGTGGGACGGCATCTTCCAAGTTTACTACCTTGGAGAGTGGTCAGCCTACCTGGCGATGTGAAGCTAACGCTGAGGCAAAAATTCGTCGCTCGAACTGTATTCCCATATGGTCTTTTTTCAGGCAGGAATCAGTGTCTAGCAGTTTCACATCTATATCGACTGACAAGACTGGCTGTGCAGTATGGGAATGTGGTATCATTCTCGCCTACTGTCTTTGCCAGGCATTTTTGCTGCGAGGAAAATCTAGCGCTCTGAAGGTGGTTTTTTGCATTTCTCGTATGGTATGGGAAGACTCTGTTAGTTGCCGATTGGTCCTGATACGGAGAACTATGGTGTCGAGCTGGGCTGTGGCACGGGACTGGTCTCCCTCGCATTGGCGAGCTTGGGAGCAAAGATGGTCGCCACGGATGGCAATGATCAGGTCCGTGCACTGTTGGGGGAAAAGGAAGCGGTGCAGTCTGTGGTAATCAGTGTTAGCAGGTACTGAAGCTTGCTGAGCGAAACCTAGGCCAA